TATTATAAGGCGCAAAAAAGTTTATTTCGGTCCTTTTTCCGTTAATGTTCCGTCAAATAGCATTTTTCCCCGTCAGTTTACACTATTCCTATTTTGTCCTCCAAATTTCACAGCACAGCCAGAATATCTTTCTCGCCGTCTGTTCTCCGACTCTACCCTTTGTCCTCACCTTCTCGCAAATTCTACACCGTCACCGACCCTCGCCCTCTTCCACCGCCACACGACACCCTCTTCCTCACCTATTAATAAGGAGTGAAAAAATAATTGGACTATTGTTCCTGCAAGAAATCTTTTCCACTATCCAGGTATTTCTTCCCTCTTCTTCTCCCTTTGCATGTCTCTTCTATGTCTCCTTCCTCGTAATTCTTACCAATTCTGTGTCTCCTTCCTCTTCTTTTAAATCTTCAACCAGAATTTGGGTATTTAGTACCCAAATTCTTATCAATTCAAACGCATTACTTTAAGAATAGTTGTTTTCTCATTTCAATACAAGAAAGAATAAAAGGGTTGTTCTTCTTATACAATAGAACATAAACAAGAACGAAACTATAAATCTTCAGACATTTTTATATATTACCAAGTTAACAATTAGCTAGCCTGGAATATACTATGTGTGTGGGTGCTTAGCATGACAACATGTTTTGATTACACTAAAACTGGACTGATAGGTCTGTTAAGAATAGGGTTAGAAATTTTATTCTGGAATAAGCTATAGTTGATATTTCACATTTTCTGATATTTTGCCATACCCAATATTTTTATGCATATTAAGGGACTGATTTTTATGTCCTAAATATGTTTAGAACCTTTTCCTTGCCTAAGATTTCTTATTCAGATTAAGTGCTCAATTCACGCGCCTGAAAATACGAACTAGCGTTTAATATTAGAAAATTAATTGTGTAGAAGATTACCTCATTGTTAGAGAAATTTTATTATCAAATCTATGCTTCTTGTTGGGAAAATAAGAAATATGGTTCTATCTCTCCACACTTAAAAATAAAATTATAGTTTTTAAAGATTAACTCTGTTTTAGCATACATGAGAACCCATGTCCTATGTCTTTTGACTTATTTAATTTACTCTTTTAAAACATGTGCTTAGTTTCTGTTTGAATGAATAATAATACTCCCTTGAATTTCTGAAATACAATTACAGCACCTTTAAGAGCAAATTTCTAAACAAACGAGTACTTCGTTCTGATTCTGGTTACAAGTACTCAGTTTGTAGTTCCCTCAAGCCTTCCTCTAATTCTTCTTGCTTTCCCAGCTTTTTCTTCTTCAAAAACCTAATTTAGTTATCCTTAATCATGTGCTCACTCCCTTTATTGTTTACCTAGAGAGTATAATTTTTCTTTGCTGCAATCTCTGGTTTGTATGCACTTCAAATTCAGATAACCAAATCTGCACTTTTAAATGAAGAAATTGTGTTCTTAATTGGAATTTTGAAATAGAATATTATTGTGAAGCTTATTTTAATGTGAGTAATCATACTTTTGGGGCTGCTTTTGAAACAATAAAGGCTGACTTTGATCTCTTTTAAAGATTGTGTAGTCTGTGTAGTAAATAAGGGTGAGCACTATGTTTTTAAGGTAATTAAAGAAGTGAAGTTCTATGTGTGTATTTCCTTTCTAAAAAATAAGAATAACATAACAAGTCCAGCTTTTATATCTTTTGTGTGCATTCACTATAAAAATTGTTCTCATTTTACCTAAAGTTTTTTGATCCTACAACTTTTATTAGGATTGATTGGTAATTATTACAAATCAATTGTGTTTTCATTAGTCTCAGATGTTATAGAATGATTATTTTCCAGTGTGCTCCCAGTTCAGATGCTTGGCTTCAGTTCTCACTGCATGTATTTTGAAGTTTTATTTGGTTAAGTTTAGATTGATGATTAAATGATTTTTGGCATGGCTTTGCAGGTACAAGCTGCATTGGACCGGGCAGCTTTAGATTGTAACTCACAACTTGGGACTGTGTTCCAGGTGTTGCATACCGCAGAATCACCACCCACTTATTTCCGTACTAACAAATTTACTTCTGCTTTCCAAGAAATTGTTGAGGCATAGGGGTGAGTAATAGTAACATCACATATAATGGACATGATGGATTATTCATATGTGTGGATAGTTTAGTCATAAACGTTCATGGGATGTTTGTGGAGGCACTTAAATGTTGGATGGTTGTTTATCAGGCACCTATTGAAGCCCACTTCATAACCTAAGGCTTAGTGTTAAGATGCCGACCAGATGAAACTGGTGCGCTGAGTAGCAGTAGTAACTACCAATTATCCAAAAGGAATAACCTAGTAATTAGTAATTAGTGTTTCTTTAGAAGGTTTTGTAACTGAAGCTAAAAACTCACACTCCCTAGGCTTTTTGGATTACGAAGCTCGATAGAAGTTCATTACAAACTAATTCGAATATGATAAAAAATGTGTTGTAGAACATTAGGTAATAAAGAAGAGTTGGTTTGACCACATGAATAGTTAAAGGGACAAATGAAATGGGACAGATGAAGTAATACTTATATATTTGACTAATTTGAGCCCTTATGCAATTGTAAGTTTGCTATATCAGAGTATCTTATAGATTATTTGTATAGGGTCGCAAAATATCAAGAAGCAAATCCAGGTGTTTTCACAATTGTGACATTTCCCTTCCTATTTGCCGTCATGTTCGGAGACTGGGGACACGGGATATGTCTGCTTCTTGCATCAATGTATTTTCGTTTCTGTGAGAAGAAACTTTCTAGCCAGGTAAGAATCTCAATACAAGTAAACCTACTCCACCTCCAGTACTGATCCTGATGTTTCTTCCACTCTACAGAGTACTGTTATACTGAACATGACTATGGATGCTATTTGTTACTTTAGATGGGAAACATGACAAGTTAGGTTTATTTATAAATTAAAAAAAATTAAATTGAAAGAATACGGAACTAACAAAAGTGACAATTTGTTCTGGTTTGTTAAGAATAGTTTGCTAAAATCTAATTAGAAATTTCCTAGAGTTAATTTTTCTTTTCATTTTCAGAAACTATAAGAGTTTTGATAAAATTCATTTTCTCTTTCCAATTTTCTTGGTATCAGAAGCTTGGCGATATAATGGACATGACTTTTGGTGCCCGATATGTTATTCTGATGATGGCTTTGTTCTCAATATACACTGGATTTATTTATAATGAATTTTTTTCTGTACCCTTTGAAATATTTGGGCGCTCAGCTTATGCTTGTAATGACCCCTCATGCAGGTAAGTACCAGATTATCAAGTGCATTGTGAAAAATTTTGTATTATTTTTCCCATGTTCAATATCATTCATTTTACTTTTTTTGTTTGCTCTAGGTTTCAATTCTTTTGATTTAGCCTTACGCTTATAGCTACACCCATGGTGATCAATCCCCGGAAGTTACCATTTGGACAGGGAAAGACCGTTACATCTGGATCGACTTAGGGGCTGGCCTAGTGGAGTATGGTCCAGCACTCTATGGCGATGGTCTTATGCCTAGGGGCGAGTTTCATCCACTGGCGTCTATCCACGGCCGACCCAAGTCTCAAAAGTCTATGCTTTCTGACTTGGCTTCACTGGTTTGGAGTTCTTACCAGGTACTTGCTGTTCCTTCTTTGAGGATTCCTGTCCCTTTTGAGGGTTCCTTGATTGTTCAGTTCATACAAATAAATGGTTCACCCAAAAACAAAGATTGTTAGTAATTTATTTGAGAACTACACCCTGATTGTTAGTGAGTATCTGGACTCAAAACGCTTACACCAGACATTGTCAGAACGGGTAGTGAAGCTTTCTTTTGGATGAAGGTTTTGGGAGGGTTGTCCCAGTCTATGTTTTTGATTTGGATGTCAGCATGATTTTGTTGCTCGACCGTTACCATCAGGTCGTGGCATTCAAAGATATGGTTATTGCGGTTAGGACGAAGAGTACCCAGGCTGTCAGCGACTATAGTTGTAATGGATGCCATGTTTTTTCCCAGACTCGTGAGTTGGAGAGGCCTCTTGTTGGTTCCATTTTACAGAGTATGTGGGGAGTCTCCCCAACACATTTTGTGTGGGGCCCTAAGCATAACAGCACTCTTGTTTTCTAGAACTCCTTTAGACACCATACAAAGTCATACATCTTAAATTTCATAATTTTCTTTAAATTTTGGGCACCAAACGCACAAAGTGCGTTTCTTGCTAGTTACATTTATAGAGAAACAAAAATTATTTCCTTCATATTTCGAAGTCAATATTTACAAAGGAGTATTATGGAAGAATTTTGACACTTAATGAAATTTTATGAAATTGAGTAAAAGCTACAATTCATATTTGTGACTAACAAAAAATTTCAAAATCAACTTTCATATTATATAATTATATTGAGGATGTGATATAATTATACCCTCTTATAACATATAGGTTACTTATGGTAAGAATATAAATGTTCAATTTTCCTGCATCAATGAATAAATAAGCTATATTTTAAAGAAGTACTCCGTATTATTTTTTCCATTCTTTAATTTTTTTCTACGGTTAATGTATTGCCTTTTAATAGGAACACATTAATAATATATGTACCTTTTATAGTTTTTCCCCATAAATGATTAACTTAAACTTATACTACCTCCGTCCCAGAGTATTTGTCCACTTTCATTTTTACACATCATCCAATACACTTCTTTAATCCATTTTATCTTGTAATTTGTATATTAAAAAATTATAGAAATTATATATTAATAATCTATATGTTAAAACAAATCAAACAAGATTACACATGACTATATTTAGGCTTACCATTGAGAGAATTTGATGAGTCAAAGTGCTTAGATGAACAGTTCCAAAAGTCAAAACTGGACGAATACTCCGGGACGGAGGGAGTATAATTTATTTTAAAATATACAAAGCAAAATAAATATTATTTAAAAACTTAAAAACTAAAATAATTTAATTAGAATTTTGAAATGAAAAAAAAAATATAACCATATAATTTTGGTTAGAGTGTACTAGATATCCATACATATTGTTATATTTTTAAAATAGGTAGCAACAAAACCGTTTGGTTTTATTTGGCATAATACCCCTAACCTAAATACTCCACGATCTCCTTCAGATGTGAGACCTCCTGATCCATCAACCGGGTGTTTTCCTCCTTCAGCTTGAGGTTCTTAGCACCTACTGCCCCGGTCGCCTTTGAGAGCTTGGCCATTTCATCTGTTTGCAGCAGAACCTCGGCGTTCAGCTCCCTGTTCCCCTTCCCTCACTTTCTCTTCCAACCGGGCCACCTTGGAGGGAGAGTCTTCGGAGAACTGTTCCATTGCGTCCGGACCCACCTCACCAAGCTACATGAAAAACACAAAGATAATTGTTGGTACGGTTATGTAAATATATGGAACTTATGGAAGACATACTAGGTGAGACTTACTTCTTTCAGCTTGAGCCCAAGCAGGACCCAGAGCTCCTCTATGGATTGGACTTCCGGTACACTTTCCCCCCTTTTCCTCATGAAGGAAGGGTGAGACATAGCCACCTTCGTCATCCGGCTCTTCTTCCCCTTGTTGGGGGGAGGATTCAAATCCGCTGCCCCGGTCGTTGGGGCTTCCTCTTCATCCAAAATCTCAAAGGTCTCTTGTTGGTCCGGTTGAGTCCTGGGAAGAGCCGGATGCTGACCGGATGAGGTAGAGGCGCCAGTCTTCTTGGGCATCTGGTAGGATTCGAACTCTATATCTGCAAATCCAAAAAATATTGTGAGGTATAATTAGAGAAACCGGTACAAAGAATAAAGGAGAGATAGAGCAGAATGCAAAACGTACGTGGGTGACGATGGCCCTCGGCCTCTGTAGTGTTGCCCGGGGAGGGTACCCCGTGCCCCTCTGCTTCATGGGCCTGCGAGGTACCCTCGCCACCCTCGATCCTCCAAGCCCATCTCTTGAAATGATATAGCATCCCGATAAAAAGATCCTCGCGGAGCAGCTTCTCCAAACTTTCTTCCAATTCTGGAGTCATGGCCGGTTCAGGGAATTCTTGGTTGAGGAGGTGGTCATTCCACCTCAAACCGGCCAGTGGAGAGACGAAGGGAGGAAATTTTATGAAAAAAAATTCCTTCCACCTCTTATTACTTTGGGGAAGGTCGGAGTTGAACTTACGACCCGGGCGACCTTTGAAATAAACAAATCCATCACAACCGGGTCACCCGAGTAGAACTTCGAACAAGAAGAGAAAAAGACGAAGGGAAGGATCAATGCAAAGATGGGAATGGATATTTACAAAAGAATTTAATAGACGATGGGCATTAGGGGTAATCTGCCCGGGAAGAATCCTAAAGGCGTGGCAGAGTTCAACCAGGAGGGGGCAGAGAGGAAAGACTATGCCACCCTCCAAAGAAACAATATGAAAACCTATTCTACCCTCCCGGTGGGGCTCAACAATGTTGGGCCAATTTTCATCATATTCAAGAACACCTCCAGAAGGTTCCTACGGGCTTTGTTTAGGGCAATTTTTGAAATGTTGGGGGGATGTCTAATACATAAAAGGTGAGGAGAGGAGAGTAACCGGCATTCTTTAGCCTCTCCTCCTACTCCACCCAGGATTCGTGTTCTAGGTTGTAGGGACCCGGTTCTTGATTGACCGGCTCCTCCCTCCCCACAAAAACTTGAGCGGGTACCTAGTTGACAGGTTTCGGGTCGGGAACAGACGTTTGAGGAGCCGGTCTGGGTTTGAACTCAGAAGAATAGTAACCGGTAGAAGAAGAGGACGGGACAGATTCCTCATATGCGTAGGCATCTGAAAAAGAGAGGTTTTGACTTTCCTCTTCTGAAGACATGACCAGGAAGGAAAAGAAAGAATAGAGGAAGAAGCTTACTTGACTCGGAGGGCTGGGAAGCTAAAGCTGGAGACTTGACCGGTAAGAGCTCAAGGAAGAATGCGCGAAGAGTGAAGGAATGAAGGGATTGGAGGAATGCGCGAGCAAAAAAATAAGGCGAAGTGGCCTCCTGCGGCCATGGGAAGGTGAACGGATGGGGCGACAACGCATTATGGCAACGGTCGACGAGCGACACGTATCAAAAATCAGACTTTTTCAAATTCGAATTTTGAAAATTTTTAGGGGGGAAAGGTCTGAAATTCGAATTTCGGGTCCATTTCCCAGATTTTTACTTCCCGCCCATGATATTTCACATGGCCAAGAAGTGGATGGCTTATTTATGGGTGTATTCCACCTAGTACTGGTCCAAGGGAAGGCTTCCAAATATTTGATCCATCAAGGTTAAATTTCTAGAATGGGAAGCTGAAAAGACAATGGAAATATATTAGTCAATGTTAAAAACTTGACCGGTATACTTCGGGTAGTCTACTGGTCAAACCACTTAAGATATTCAATCAATCCGTCTAATACACTACGCGACCGAGGAGTCACCTTCCTAGCTAGATGACAAAGGAATAAAGGGGTGAAACAAGCCACTAAAAGACAGAGACAATCACCTCGCACCACCTAGGAACGTGGCCTGACGTGGATGTGCGGCGCTTTGTCCCCCATTGATTACTATAAATACCTGTGTAACCCTCAAAGGAAGGGATCCGATTTCCTCTTACTAAAATATTTGTGTAAAAGCTCTCGTACACCGTACTATATTCAAATAACAATTGGGTTACATGTGTTTCTACCTATAGTCCTCCCAGTTAATTTGTGTGTTTTTACCTTTTATTGTCTTGAATCCAGTAAACGATTCTAGATCCGGTCTAGTACTGTTTACCCGATTAGGTAATTTACACCATCACGAACGATATGTGTCTGTTTTGCAACTCGGTGATCAGTTTTAATGTCTTAAAAACTTTAAATAAAAATTTGTATTAAGACTAATTAAAAATATTGTTCCTAATTATGCAAGATCAAACTTTTCGTGGGTACATGCTCAAGTTAGTTGCCCAAAACCCGAGCTGGGTAGTTGGATCTTGTGGACAACGTTTTCTTTGTCTTATTTTTAAACTGTTAATATAAAAGTGACACGGATGCATTAAATCCATTAATACAATATGAGTCAATTAATAAAGCCATCTAACTAAGACCTTGTATTTTTTTTCTGTTTTTTTTGTCGTGGGATTGTTAAAATCTCAATACTCACATCAAAAAATATGGAAAGAAATGGAATAAAATTCATTATGTCATACTCCGTATCTAATTAGTATTGTGATAAAAGTTTTAAAGTGCACACTTATTTTATGGACCTTGGTACATAAATATTATTGATGCTTAGGCTTTTGAAAAAAATAAAAAAAATTATATGTCAGCCAATGAAAAGTGAGAAAGTCCACATGTCACATGTGCACCCTGCACCTAATGATAATGGAAGCACAACTCTCGTTCCATACTTTTTTCTCATTTGATTTTTTAGAGTTTTTAATGTAAAATTTTGTTAATTAACATCTCTATATATCATAATTAAAATTTTATCATATTTAAAAACTGCACGTCAAAATGAATCTTTGATATTTCAAATTTATATCATAATTAATGTTTTCCCCAAAATTCTTCTTATCAAAAGTTTTAAAATATTAACCACAAAAGTGGGAATAAAGGTAGAAAAATGTTAGAGATACACTTTCCAAAAAGTGTACCCCAAATGTATACCACTTCATCTTCATCACACAATCTCAAGTGTAGGAAAAAAAATTAAAAATAAATAAAAATTCAATGGTTATGATCGTTTGGGTACAAATGGGGTGCACCTGAAACATCACTAATGTTTTTATCACTTTTTTATTTTTTGGTGGTTCCACTTTTTTTTTGTCTTCGTTCTTTTAATTAAACAATGGATTATGCTATGTGTACCCCAAGTTTTGTACCCCGTAGTTTTGCACCGACACTTTGTGTTGGTGTAAAACTAATTTTTGTTAAATGCACCAACATTTGTGTCCGTGTGAATTTTTATTAGCGCACCAACACTTGTGTCGGTGTAAACCATCGAAATGTTTGTGCAAACCTGTGGTGTACAAATGGGGTATATTTTTTGATGTAAGTGTAGCATGGTCCTTAAACAATTAACACAAATCAGAATTGAATCAGCGAATGGGAAAATAGACGGCAACGGCCACTGCACTCGTCTTTGGCAACGGTCCTGCTAGGGGTACACCACTTGGTGTACCCCAAATGAACACCATATACACCCCTCATTCCCATTCCATAACCAACCCTACCCTCTCATTCATAGATCTCTCCTCCTCACTCTTTCTTCCTCCTCAGATCCCTCAACTCCCTCCCTCTCTGCCGATGATCAACGGATTCAACGCAGCACCAGGCTTCATCATCTCCCTTTCTAACTCATTCTCTCTTCCTCCCTAGATCTTGCATCTCTCTTCCTCCCCGCCGATGATTACCTTCATCTTCGGCGCCCCCAGAAGTTGCACGGCGTGGGCTCCCCGCAGCCGCCCAGAAGCGCCATCATCATCGTCATCATCGTCCCCGAGATCTAGATCGGAGTAGGGCGACGAACCACGCCTTCAATTCTTTCGCCGCCACCTGCTTCCCCCTCGTCGCCAGCTCCTCTATGATCTTCACCGCAACTTTCTTGGTCTTCAACAATGTCGCCGGAGCAGTTGATTTTGGCAGAGATGGTGGTTCAATTTTCACTCAGAGTACAGAGACAGTAAATGTCTGTGTTCAAACAATTACAGAATTTTAGTGTCTGTGTAACTAAACAGCATTGATTGTTGTTTTTTCTTTTGTTTTAAACATAATTAAATTTGTAAATGCTCTTGATACTCTATTTTTTTGCATATTTAACGGGTGATATTTTCATCCAGGTTACACAGATAATAAGTGTCTATGTATCAAGAAGAGTAAATTCCATAATTGGTCCTTTATAATAAGGAGGTTTCCATATTTAGTCCTCTATTATCAAATATTATCCCCGTAGTCCTTTTTTTAAGGGTGCCTTTCCACAAATGGTCCTTGTTTTGATCTTCCGCCATGTTGGTATTAATTTAAAGGCTAAAAGTATAATTTGACATCAACATTATGTCCAGTGACGTGTTCTGATATTGGTTAAGCAGATAACACAAAAATAATGACAGTGATTGTGGGCTAGGATTCCGATGAAAGACCACATTTGTAGACAATGTTTGTAGTAGAAAGCTACTGTAATTCACAAACGACGGAAACAGAACAGCCTTTGGAATTGTGTATGACAAAAAAAGATATATTATCATTGCAAAATTACATTTTTAGCCCTCAAATTAACAGCAACATGATAACAGATCAAAAAAGGACTATTTATGGAAAGATACCTAAAAAAGAAGGATCACCGGGGTAATATTTGATAATAGAGGACTAAATAGGGAAACCCCCTGTTATAAAGGACTAATTATGGAATTTACTCTATCAAGAATTACATATATTTAGTGTCTATGTAACTGAACAGGGGTAATTATAGCTGTTTTATTTTTTTACAATCTATATAAAATTGTGAAATGCTCTTTATGCTCCATTATGTGTATATTTGTTGGATTAGTTTTTATACAGGTTATACACACAATAAACATTTTTTTAATGAATTACAAACGTTTATTGTCTATTTGACCAAACATTACTTTATGCTTTTCTGTGAATAATTATCTATCACATAGACATCTACCGTCTGTGTCACTGAAATTACAGACAACTAGTGCATGTGATAGTCTTGATGAAATGTTTTTGATCAAGAATTACATATATATATATATATATATATATATATATATATATATATATATATATATATATATACATACTGTCTATGTCTATGTAACTAAGCCGTGTTAATTGTAACTCTTTTTTACAATATAGAGAAATTGTGAAATGTTCTTTATGTTCCATTACATGATATATTTGATGGATTTCATTTTTATACATGTTACATAGACAATGAACATCTATTTCTGATTAATTAAAGACAGTTTTTGTCTATGTGACCATAAAACACAACAAATAATACTACAAAGAACCAAGAACTAGATGTAGTAAAAAAGGGGGGGATGTAGTTACAATAAAGTGTAAGTTATAATATAGCACAATGAGATATTGTTTTCAAGAATGAGAAACAAACAAAGCAGAATTAAATTTCCCTTTTCAATTCCACCATTAAAGCAAGCAAAAGAACTGAGAACATCCAAAATTGTATCACACCCAAACTTTATATACCAAACATTACATCCTACAAAATTTTAGAATAAAAAATTCTAGTGACATGTGATGATTACATCTTTGCCATCACCAATATTGACTTCGGCCATCGTCTGCAAGAAGCAACCTTTCAGCACACAACTTCAACACATCTTGTTAATGTTGTAAAAACTAAAAAAAAAATGAGAAGTAAATTAATGCATTGGTAAATTAATAACAAATTTAAATCAAAACTAACAATACATTCTAACCAACACATTGACTATCTATGACTATGAGATTCACTTTTACAGGTAGTTAACGATTTTAACTGAAGAATTTACTTAGTGTCTGTATATAGGTATTTACAAATATGTAGTATCGGTCATTACAGACACACAGTGTTTGTGATTAAAAATTCACAGACAGTAAACATTTGTGAGCTCCGTGTATGCTCAAGAAAAGTAATTCAATCACAATTATTATTTATCACGAATAAAGAATGTTTATGAAGCAAACATAAATCATGTACACTTTCTAGATAGTAGAATTCATATTTCTCATGTGCCATTGAACCAAAGTAAAACACCGGTGATTTATTGACTGACAAACCTTAAACATTGGTGATGATGAAATACATACATTTTAGGCTAATAATACACACTCGAAATACATTTCAAAGCAATTTTTAAAATAAGGCAAACTATTAATTAGGATACATGCATTTCATAGTAAGTTTTGAAATTGAGCATCCTTATTTGGAAAACAGACATTCTATGCCAGTAACAAACACTTCACAAACACTTTCAAGTAATTTATGAAATAGAACAAGTTCTTTTTTTAAATACAAACATTTTATGCAAGCAAGAAGCACATCATAGACATTTCAAAACAAGTTTTGAAATCGAATACTCTTAATTAGAATACAAACATTTTACACCTGTAAGAAGTACTACACAGACATTTCGTAATAAACATGAAAAATGCCCAATTACAACATGTTATTAATGAAAAATTAGCAGCTGAAAAAGATTCAAAAAGGAAATAAACAATTGAACAAGTTCAAGAAACAATGATTAAATCTAGATTTCACAAAAGGGAAGGATTGAGCGATTGAATCTAGATTTACAAAATAAAAACCCTAAAATTGAAATATAAGTATTTATTATTACCTTTAATTTGTTATTTTACCGTGGCCGGATGAGTGCAAAAAATCGAGGAAGACGAAGGAGGAGCTCTGGGAGAAGGGCTGGTCTTCCGGTAGTCGCTCGCTCCCTGCTTCGTCGGAGAAATCTGAGAGAGAGAGAGAGAGAACAGGAGTTATGGAAAGATGGGGGGGAAAGAGAGAGAGAGATGGAGCAGGGGGAGGGGGTTATGGAAAGTTAAGGGGGGTATGTATGGTGTACAAGTGGTGTACAGATATGGTGTACACATAGCTTTTTCCCTTTGGCAATTTCATTCGTGGCTTCCTTTTCTCGTGCGTCAGGTGCGTGAGTAGTTTTTTTGGGAAAAAATTTAGGAAAGCACAAAAGTAAGAATCCTATGTCTTTTAAGACCAACATAGCAGTTCACAATGTCATTGTTACAATACTACACCCACCATATTGTCACATTGCAATTGCTACACGATCAATATCACACTACCATCTATTTTCACATTCCGGTTTTCCCAACTATTCTCTTTTTCTTCAATCTTTTTTTACTCCCAAATAATGACTCTAAAAATAATTCCTTTATCATGTATTATTATAATTATTATAAATATAGCTTATAAACTATTTCAAATTTTCTATTTTTATTTTTCCCATGTCTATAATTTTTGATTCACACCCATTATCATTTTTTCCCATTTTTAATATAAATAATATGGAATACAATTTTATTGGGATTTTTTTAAAATTTACATGACACTAAACTATGTTCCAAAAAAATGGATATTTTATTAATCTAAATTGACCAGGAAAAAAGACAAATATTTTAAATTAAAAAACTAATTGTACTATTCTCTTTGTCCTTCATTAAATGACATGTACACTATTATTAGTTGCTTTCTTTACCTATTGTGTTAATAATGATGATGATGATGTTGTTGATGATGATGATAATAATATAATACTAATAATAATAACAACAACAACAATAACAATTAAAATAAGAATACTAATACACTTAAATTTCCTTTTGAAGTTTTTTTTAGTTTTTTTAGTTTCTTTTTGTTTTTTCTGGCCGGGTTCTTGTAGTTTCTCCTAATTTTCCTAGTTTGTTCTAATTTTTTCTAGTTTCTTCCAACATTTAACTCTTTTTTTCCAACCCTAAAGAATAGACTCTCAATTTAGAATAGGGTAGTATATGATGATGGAATATAAAAATTTTAAGAAATCTAATTGGATATGGGTAAAAAAGTATAAAAATACCAAAATATATATGAGTCCTAAGTCTTTTAAGACCAAAATAGGAGTATAATGACACTGTAGTGTAAGAGTACGCGTTGGCAGTGTAATGAAAAAGTGATGGTGTAATATGTGAGTGTGACCTGTCAACCATCGGCGATCAGCAACGGCACTTGAGTGCCTCCGACGATGAATGGTAGTGTGACGCTGGTAGTGTGGAAGTTACAATGTGACAATGTGGTGAGTGTGACCACCAGAGTACCGCAACCGACCACCTGTAGTTGACAATATAACACTGTCATTATATTTCTATCATACTGCCAACACGTTTTTTTACATGACACGGCCAACAGTGGTGGATCCAGAAAAAAAATGACCGGGGGCAAAAAATGACAAAAAAATAAAGAAATTTAATTTTAAACAAGTATTTAAATAAAAAATAATTTTCAAAGTAGAAAATAAAATATAAAATATATCACAACGTAATATAATTATGATATTTCAAATATTTTACCTGAATATGTTTTTAAGTGATTATTTTTTATTTATAAACAAATATTTTCTTTTGTGATCAGTGGGGGCAAACTAATTTTTTATCAGGGTCAATCTTTTAATTCTCTACAAATAAATTATTTTAATACTATATATTACGGAGTAAAAAAACTGACTAGGGGCGACTGCCCCCGTATTCATAGATGTAGATCCGCCCCTGACAGCCATTATATTCCTATTTTGAACTTAAAAGATTTAAGACTCATATTCTGGTTTCTTCCCGTTTTTCCATTTCTTCCAATTCCTATTTCTTTGAGTTTTTTATCATATCCTTCCTATTTTTCTCATTTATTCTTTTCTTTTTTTTGCACAAAATTCACAAGATTTCATTAACAACCCAAACTTTCAATTACATCAATCATACAAACCTCCGCGTATGGTACATATATTAATTACATTACTTTCATATAATTAAAGTAACTCCGATCCTAATGTAATGAACAGCTTGGTCTTGGATATCTTTTAATCTTCTGCTCTTATGAATTTGGGAGGGGTAAAATTATTCCAAATTTCTATAAAAAAATTTCTATTATACCTTTAGGAAGTAAAACAATTCTTATCTAGAAAGTGATAACTCCCATTAGCACAGAGTTAATAAGTCTTATTCTATCAATGTAAGAAAAGTATCTGGATCCTCACGCAGATATCCTGATTATCAGTTTATTAATAAGTGCATCACATTCATGAGATCTTAGCATGGCTGTTGTTATGGGTGATCTCAGGTAAGTGATAGGAAATTTACCTAATTTCATATTCAACATGGATAGCAGCTTCACCTCTTCATCTAGGTTAATTCCCCCCAAAAATAGCCTCTGATTTGCTTCTGTTAATCTTCAATCTAGCAGTGCAGTGGAAGTTCTCTAACACTTTCATAATACACCCAACAGATTGGGCATTAGCTCTGCATACCACAATTAGATCATTAGCAAAAGTAAGGTTAATAATCTTTAACCTAGAACACAATTTTCATTTCTTCTTGTTTTCCCAACTATTCTCTTTTTCTTCAATCTTTTTTTACTCTCAATTAATGACTATAAAAATAATATGTTTATCATGTATTATAGTAATTATTATAAATATAGTTTATAAATCTTTTTAAAGTCTTTGTTTAATTTTTCCCAACTACTAATTTTTTATTCACATCCATTATTATTTTTTCCCATTTTTAATATATATAATACAAAATACAATTTACTCTGATTTGTTTTTAATTTACATGATACTAAACTATGTTCCAAAAATTATGGATTATTAATCTAAATTGACCAGGGAAAAAGATCAATATTTTAAATTAAAAAGAAATAATTATACTACTCTCTTTGTCCTTCATTAAATGACATGTACACTATTTACGTGGTCGAATTTTATTTACTACATTTACCTATTGTGATAACAACAACAACAACAACAACAACAACAATTACAATTACAATAGGAATACTAAGTAAAATATACTTAAATAAATTTTTGAAGTTTTTTCTAATTTTTTTTTAATTTCTTTCAATTTTTTCAGAGTTCTTGTAATTATTTCTAATTTTTCTAGTTTCTTATAGTTTTTTCTAATTTCTTCAAAAATCTAACTCTTTTTTTCAAACCCTAAAGAACAGACTCTTAATTTGGAATAGTGTAGTATATGATGATAGAATATAAAAATTTTAAGAAATCTAGCTTGATAGGGGTAATTAAAAAGTATAAAAATATTAAAATATGAGTACTAAGTCTTTTAAGACCACAATAGGAGCATAATGGCAATGTAGTGTAAGAGTACACGTTGGCAGTGTGATGGAAAAGCGATGACAGTGTAATAGTGTAATATGTTAGTGTGATCAATCAACCGTCAGCGATCTGCGGCGGCATTCGGGTGGCCACCGATAACGTATGGTAGTGTTGCAGCGGTAGTGTGGTAGTTACATTGTAACAATGCGATGACTGTAGCAGTGTAACAATGATATTGTGGACTCATATTTTGGTCTGAAAAGATTTATAACTCTTAATTTGATATTTTTATGGTTTTTTACTTCTATCTAGAGAATTCTACCAAAAGTCTTTCATCAATCTACAATCTCAAGTTTGGACTTTTTGTTGAATTGATTCTTTGACTAAACGATCACGAATTCGAACCTCAATGTTATTTAATAAAACTATGAGTACACCACCATTGTTTATAATTGATTCTATATTAATTTATTTATTAATTTTTTTATCAAAATTTAAATTATGTCGTAATGGAAATGCATTGGGGTACATAATTTTATGTACCCTCAGGCCTCAACTATATGTCTAACTAGTTTTAGGGAAAAATTACCACTATGAACACCATACCCGGAGTACTTGTTATCCCCTCCCATTAAAACACAATCATGTGTTGCATGTGTACTCGATCTCGTTCAAATGTATCTCATTAGACAACGACGACTCACGATTAGTTACAAGTCTTTGAGCTGAGTCTAAAGAAGTTGAATTATTTCTACTTATCTTTCTAAAACTTAGCGAGTTTTTTTATTTTTTTTTTTTGTCTTTCTAATAAATTTTATAAGTTAAATCATCTCTATAGATGATTTTTAATTTTTATGAATAGTCTTTCCCCTGTTGAAGTATAAATTTTAATTCCGGTATAATTTTTAACTTTGTTTAGTCCCTCAAAAGAGTTTTTTGGTTCATTCATTTTTATTTTTTTAAAGAAATCACCCTTAATAAAGGTAAACATAGAGAAAGTATCAAAATAGAAGTTCTATATTTTTATCCTCAAAATAAGAGTTCACATTATGGCAATGTGATACTGTATATAGATATTTCACAATACATTTTGGTAATGTATATGGTCACAATTGGGAATGTATATGAATTTTAACTCATATTTCAAGAATAAAAATACGGAGTATGAAACTTCTATTTTGGTATATTTTAAATGTTTTATTCCTACTTTAGTCTATTCCCCTTTTTTTAAATTATTAAATACTTTGTACACGACTAATTTTTTTAATTCAAAATATAATTAATTACAACGTTAAAGTAAATTAAATATTTTTAGAAGCTTAATCAAGTAATTGCATTACTACAAGTCATTTGAAAATTATTAATAGTACAATTTAATAAAAATATCTGGCTCGCTAACGAAATGAAAAGTGTAATTTAAGGGGTTTGTTCTTAATATTTTCTCTAAAATGAGTAGCAATAAACCAGCTTTTCTCGTCAATGTGAGTCTTAAATCCATGTTTTAAAGACAAAAGATCGATGGTAAAGAACTTTACTAAAAAGTTTTAAATTAGCTACAAATTTTGATTAAAAAGTACACCATCCGTCCCACAAAATCCTTCTTCTTTCATTTTCCATTCGTCCCAAAAAATCCTTCTCTTTTCAATTAAAAAGTCACTTTTACCGTATTAATTCTTAACCTACTTATCACATCACATTTTTTCTCTATTAATCTACTCATCACATTCTACTTTATCTATCACATCAAAGGCATTTTTGGAAAATCAACACCAAAGACTCTCTAATGGTATGTTTGGGAACATGGATTTGGATTTCAAATTCGGATTTGGCTCAAATTCCATGTTTGGGAAACTTACAAATTTTGAATTTGGATTTAAATCAAATTCTTCTCATTCATAACAAAGCTTAATTTTAAATCCATGTGTCTCCCCTTGTCATTTGAAATTCAAGATTTCAAATTTTGGAATTGAAATACATGAATTGAAATGAAATCCTAGTTAACAAAACTTTAATAAATTTGCAATAATGATGCAGTTGTTCAATTAAGCTTCAAAACGTATTTTATTGACTTTCAGTTTGTAATTTAGTATATTTTGAATAAAAAGTAGGGTATAACTATATCCACCCTTTAAATGACTAAGAGCCTGTTTTTTAGGACTAGAAAAAAAAATTGGATGTTAGAAGAAATTGGAAGGAACGGGAAGAACTCGAAAAAACTAGATGAAACTGGAAGGAACTGGAACAACTTCAAAAAATTTGAAAGACTAAAAAAAACTTTAAAAAACTTTATTTTAGTGTATTTTTATATTATTCTCATTCTAATTCTTGTTGTTATAAATTATTAGTATTATTATTATTATTATTATCATCATCATCATCATCATCATCATCATCATGATCATCATCATCATCACGTTATCTTAATGAATGTCTTTAAGATAAATAAAATATTGTTCTTTTTCATACAAAAAAAAAACTACTTTTGCAAAAAAATGTATAATTATAATGTAAAGTTAGCATAAATATCAAAATGTTATATTATAAAGAGTTATTATGGTTACGTTGCACCCAAATTTATTTATGCAGTATTTATTATAAAATCATATATTTGTAATTATACTTTATATGTTACAAGATTTTGTTTTAAATATTTGCAATGTCAAATAATGTAATCAAACTTATTTTTTCTTTGATTATTGAAATTTTATTTTCATTCTACCACCCATCTTTGGAATAAAGACATAGAATTTTTATTTTTGTACATTTTTTTATGTTTTACTCATATTTTAATCTTCTTCTCTAAACAATTTTGACTTTCAAAGTTTTTTATAAAAATTAGAAAAATGAAAAGCAAAATTAAATTTTGAAATAAATAAAAATGAGCAAAAATTAAGTAATAAAGGGAAATGTGAGGGGTCTTATATAAAGTTAGATTAATTAAACATTCTATGTAACTGTTTTATCCATAATTTTTAATATAGTTTAAAATATTGGTGTTTTCCTATTTTATCATTAGATTAATATACAAAAAAATTATCTTATTCATATTAAAAAGTTGAAGAAAAAATAATAATGAGTGTGAATCGTAAAAATAGTGAGATAAAAAAAATAAATTATAAACTACAGTAATAAACATAATGGTAGTAATAATAATAATTATCACATTAAAAATATATTATTTTTATAGTAATTGGTTGGGGGTAGAAAGAGTTTGAAGAAAAAAATGAGAATAGTTAGAAGAAATTGGAAGAAATTAGAAAAAATTGGAAGAAACTAGAATGAACTGGAAGAACTAGAAGAAACTGAAAGAAACTGGAAGTTAAGAGTTTAAGCCCTAAATAATAGGCTCTAATCTCTTTCCACCCAAATTTACTAAATCCTCACTCTCAAAATGGAAAATATCAAATTAATAAGAGTGGGAGTGCATTTAGCAAACTTAGTTGAAAGGAAAAGATTTAGCAATTTTGGGAGTGGATTTAATAATTTAGAATAGGAAAAAATAAACTAAATGAGTTTTAGAGGGACTAAAAAACGTTTAAATTTTAAAGGGATAAAAAAAATATTGAAATTGAGTGAGGACTATTTGAAAAAAAATAATAATTTAAAATAAGGATTTAATATAAATTTTTTGAGAAAAACCAAAACCCAAACTCACTAATTTTACAAGGATCAAAAACTTATTTAACCATTTCTAGTTTTTTTTTATTGTCTCTGCTAGACTACTCAACTCATTTCACGCTGCTTACTCTCAACTCTCAAGTTCTCCTTGCTTCGAATACCATTATCTTCTTCCCCGATTCCCCGTATATATGATGATGAAAAAGAATTCCACCAAAAGGTCCGACTCGAGAGGGTGGATTGAATTACAGAATGAAAATAATAAGAAGAAAATTAAATCACAGAGCTTGAGAACACGAAGAATGATGCTTGATTTCTTGGAATTATATTCGATGTCTTCAGCCTGAGCATTACAATGGCGTATCTCCTCTATTTTTTTTTATAGATATGATATTCGGATCATACATGGAAAGTGCTAAACATGGTAGCTCAGTCATGGCCTGCTTTTTCTTCGCCGTTGACGCTAAGCCAAGCAATCCCCCTCCGTTTGTATTAAACAGATTCAATCACGAGAAAGACGAGATGCCTTGACTAATTACCTGGCGGGCCGGGCCAAATTCTCCTCGATTAAGTCGGGTCTGATCGGCCTAGGTATACACCAACGGTTGCCAAGTGATACAACACATGTGTGTTCGTATGTTACCAATATTTTGATGGTTCACAGTAGTGCGATCGTAAAGTTTTACACCAGTATTTTATATTAATATGATGAATCATCAAAGTGTCAGTGCATATGCACAATTTAGAATACAATCCTGGATGCACGAGTAACTTTATTGTACACAATATAAACGATACCCATATAGAAAGGGTAACTACCTTTTTACTATCCCACCCATAAATTAGCTAATCAACGCGGTACCATTTTACCCCCTCCCATTCAAACACAATCATGTGTTGTGACTTGTG